GCCGCCATTAATATTATTGAGTATATATACACATGTAAAATACGTGTGGACACGTAAACATGTTCAGGATGTACGTGCATTGATGTACAGCGATATATAGTGCAGTCAGTCTCGCCCGCTGAACACTTTCGTCACTGTTGAAATTCCTTGGTGAAATGGTGAAAGCAAACTTACCATTTAGTTGGGCTTGTGTGTAAGACTGAAATAAAAACAGAGTAGAGTGGATATATTCATGTGAGTATCTGTCACATTCCCCTTAAATGTCCACATTTATACAGTAAATATCATAACAAGCTTACCATGTTGTACGTTCCTCAGTCAGATGTACTCTCGCTGACTGGGCTTGACCCTGCTAATCAAAAGAACCGGTCATGCGTGACATTCCACGCCCTTTGTGGCGCCGCGCTGTGTACACGGAATTATACCTCGGTTTATTTTTCACGCAGTGACATGCACCCCTTTATATATTTGTGCAACTCAAAATATGCAAATACTAGACATGCATGACCATATAGGTAGATGAAACCCCTGGGGTGGGGAGGACATGTGTACAATTTCACAGAACATAATTATTATTAGGTCTGAGCTTGAAGCCTTGAGGTTGGATCATTTACACACAAGTGTGGCAAGCGCCATTGCCGACCAACGAAGTTATCCAGTTTAAAATTAACAGGGAAAATCACTTGCGGTTGGGGGTAACACTGGATTTAATGTACAAATACGTGTTTTGTTTTGTTCGGAACATGATCTGCAAGAGACGTATTCGTATGTACCTCAATATCTGCAGTTATGGACACACATTACTTATTAGTCAACAAAAGATTCTTTGCGCGTAGTCTGTACTCCTATATCGTCTGCTATACCTGGGGTGCATTTAGCGGTCATAACTTAACCAAAAGTGGGTTCAGTTGATTTTGTTTGCTTGGTTGCTTTGAAGATTTGATTTCTACTTTATCACGTATTATTCTTACCCAAGCAAAACAAAATAATCTCTGACAAATGACAACCAACCAGTATCTTGGTTTTGACTGCCACAAGGCACCCCAGGATAGGTACACTGTACAACTATTTTAAACCATCCAAAAGTGTGCATCTTTTGTTTTGTTTTTCAACCAGCAAGAATGCAATATGCCTTTATCCAGATTCTAGTTTTCCCAGAAAGTGTCCTTTTTTCCCAATCAACGAATCTGATTAACATGGTAACACGATCAACGATCACTTACTGAGCTGAGGCCAGCGCCAACGGCAGTAAGCATAGTGGTAAAGATGTCATTTTTTCTTTTAATACCTTCGGACTTGGCTTTCTTGTTTGTCTGTTTATGTGTATGTTAACAGTTTGGGTTTCAATCTTTCTATTTTTCCCTTTGCGTTTAATACTGCATTTGTCATTCTGAGCCTTTCACAGATGCAGGCAGGATAAGGTCTAGTATGCATTGAGTTCCATGCCGCATCATGGCAACGATGCATTTTTCGCCGATCGTTCGTACTGCCGGCCTGGTACTCTTCGTCCGTTTCGGTGTTAAAAACCTTTAAGGGATTTTTTAACTGCCGCATGCTGTTGATTCTGCTGTGAACCATTGTTTAGGATCTTAGTCACTCTGGTGGTTTTCCGACCAGGCTACGTCTTCTTTCTTGGTTTGCAATCTCTAACGATCAAAGTCAGTTTGCCTTGTCTCTCTAGCTCCTTCAGCTTTCGGTGCTCCAGATCCCAGCTATGGCCCTTATGGAGAGAAAAGTTGAATTTCACATCATCAAAATAGTGATATTTGATATCTCGACCCTCCTGGTCTTTGTGGAAGGGATAGAAGCCGAAAAGGGTGATGTTGGCGCAGAATGTTCGAGCGACTGCGTACATGTCTAACCCGAGCGTGGCAGTCCGTCGTAGACCCCATTCCCTGCAAGGGCAGAAGGCAGGAAAGAGCAGAAATTCAACTTAAAAAACACTCTGTTATATTCCAGATATTGATATTGGGAGGGAATTTTTATTGCTGTTTGATATACCGGTACCGCTGGCAAATATTCTCACACGATCCACTGAACTGCAATGAAATGGGTGCTGACTCCGTCAGAGGATGGGGACATGCCGCCCCATCTGTTGGAGAAGACGGGTGCATGCAGCTATGGTCGTTTTTATCCAGTTGATTGACTCTCCAACATGAAAACACTGATTACTAATGACTTCCCGATTGAGAGTGACATATCCATGTATACTCTAACGAACTGTGTGCACATTACATCTATTTTTGGTTATGTGTATCCCCCAACCTGAAGAGAAATCGCCGCTCCAGCATGTCTGTGGTCCTCATTTCAACTCACCTGTTACGAGTGTTTTGCATTCTCGAAAAGTTATTATCCAAATTTTCATGAACCGAGCAATCTTTGAATAAAACCACTATGCACCAATCTCTTTTGTAGTATTTGAGCAGTACATTTTGGTGTCACTATTTCACTTTTATTTTGAAAGGTCTTCTCTTTGTAGGCAACTGTGTTATTTGCATCAGCAGCACATTCCGTTTCTTTCATAACTTTCGAGGTTCATGACTCTTTACTCAATGAAGTAACGAAACGAATAATTTGGTGAACTATATCCTTGAATAATTTGAAATGCTTTGGGAGAAAATCAGTTTAAAATCAAGTTTATCTGATTTTGGTCTAAATAAATTTCAACTTACTTTTCAACATGGACAGGTTTCCAGCTGAAGGCGAATCGAATATCCAAGAGTCCATTTTTCCTGATCGAATTAATTATAGACCGGTATCTCTTGCCGGAGACAAAGTTACCACCAAACTGGAAGAGTTGTTTTGGATACCACAGAATCGAGTCCTTCAAAGTTCGAATGTGGTTAAGGAATCGATTACGTATCTTTCGTTTCTTAGCATTTCGTGTGCTCCCCACGGCACTGCCGTAAATAAGCATCAGATCCCTGTTGAAAGCGTTCAAATTGGATGTTCTACCGACGTCAACCTCGTAGCCTTTTATCAGTCCCATGTTGGCGCGGATGACAAAGTCGTGCGAGTCTATGAAATCTCCACAGCTACTGTTGTTTAAGATACCACTGTTACCGACCACAGCGCAGCTGCCCTGCCGTGGAATGAGCTCCACGCCGGGGAAGTGTTCCTCCAGACTACATCGGTCCGCCTCAAGCACAGGAGAATTATCAGAAATGTTGCTTCCTGTCGCTATACTGACGACAGGATTGTAATTCTGAAACTTGAAAGTCATGTTTGTGGTTGGAGTATCGTTCCTGTACACAAAGATGGCCAAATCAAGAGGCACACAAATACCAGTTGCTGATCTGAAAAAGGAAGAACTTTTTGGTTGGAAAAAGTGCGGGTTTGACTTGCAAAGGCTTTCGGTTGTACGGAGTGTTAACAATAGTCTGTAATACAATCGATTCACAATAGTGCGCCCCCAGGAGTTTGCAATGTGTTGACAAATCACAGTGCGCGAAACTTTCCGCCGACCCTTTCCAAACGCGCATTGGGTCGACAGATTTCGTGCACTGTGATTGGTCAACGTGTCGCAAAGTTTGGGGGCACACTATTGTGAATTGCCAGTATTGAGATTCCATTTCGTTTTGCCCTGCTCAAAGCTATTTTGGTACCGTCTGGGTTCAAATGTTTATGATATTTCCATATTCGTGAGCAAAACAGTAATGTCATTGCAGGGAGCATCCTCGTTGTTCTGTACTGATTTGTGCATAATGAAATACTTTGGATGTATTGCTGCTCTGTTTTGCTTTGCTTCGCTTTTTGTCATAGGTGATGCCTCAAAGACACGGTGAACAAGCATTAGGGATGACATAAAAGTTAAAGTGATCTTTCTCCATTAGGTCTATTGACTCACAAATGAGCCCGGCACGAGTTCCACGATATTTGTTTTTCGGCTTATATGCAGGTACGCTGTTCTCAAGTTTAATGCACTCTCTAGACAAATTTAGTCCTGTAAAAAGTTCCCTTTTTCGCAGGATAAAAGTATCATTGGGGGCTAGGGATCTAGAAAGGTTCGCATGAAAGTAGAAAACATGTTTCAGGGTAGAACTTACTCACTACAGACCATCTTGCAGTGCAAAGACACATTGCGGACGAGGTCGTGTGGTGTCTCTAGCGGTGGCTTCATCATCTTTGCATAGGACGACGTGCTATCCGATGCCATCAAAATTGCCGATAATTCCGTGAACTTGGGCCCTGTTCGCTTATAAAACGGCACGAAGGTATCTTCAACGATGTAGAAGCTTGTCATTAGTCCGATAATAGCAAAGCTGCAGACTACAGCAAACAGCTTGGCGGACGAATACCCCTTCATGTCCGCCATGATTTCCCCCGCTATACCTTACTAAGCCCGTTGCACGTGCATCTAGTTGAGCTCATGATCGAGAGTCCTCACCGAACCGAATGCGAACTCAGCCCCCTGTGTTGTCAGCATGAGATTACAGAGATATGGTGTTTACATTTCCAAATGGTTTGCGTGTTTTTATCAAGGTGACTTACGCAACTGATTTTACGTCTGATCGCTTATCTAGAAACAGGGTATTTAGGCCCTAATATTAGGCACACCATCCCTTCCAAATGGATCAGCCCAAAACCTCTTCCACTTCGCATTGAGGAAGTTCAAAAGGATATATGACAGAACATGAAGGAACCACAGCTGTCTCATGAGATTTTTCTTTTAAATGAGAGGCTTGTGTTCTAAATGAGCAAATTTTAGATTCAAAACTTAATAGAACACTTAAGTGAACAGCGTCTTCCCTGAGTGACATTACAGCAACAGTGCCCTCTGTTGCCAGGAAAAGGCACAATTTTATGTGTTTGTTGTCGTCAACCTAACCACTGGAGAAATAATATACGATTTATTTCATAGGTTTTGCTCGGGGAAGAAATAGTGATGTGTGATGGTCCACGCTGCCCGGGTGGGCGTGGGGTTGGTTGAGGTGGTGCTCGATTGGGCTTTATACTCAATTTTTTTTACTCGTATAATAAAAAGGGGACCTCAAAATTTTCAATGTTTTGGCCCACCCAACCACAATTTCGATTAAAAAAGTAATTTCCATTTAGTACATTACATCGTAGCATTTGATATAAATCCAAATACATGTACATCGATGTAGCGCTGGCAAAAGCTGATTTTTGGAATTTCCGGACAGCAAACAGGAAGCACACACAGAACGCTCGTATGACGATGATGGATTTTTAATATTCAGCTTTTGCTGAGGAGGTGAGCAGATGTCACCGATTGAGAAGCCGATGTCTTGGGAACGGTGTCGTGCTTGAGGATCTCCAAGGCTTCTGTGATGCGTCTTGGGTACCAGTGCTTGATGCTGGTGATGAGGTGGGATTGGTCCCCAGTTGATGTGGTGGTTTTCAGAGTGGGAATGCTTGACTATCGCTGACTTCTCATACTCTCACTTCCTGCCATGGGCTTGGTGTTCTTTGAGTCTGGTGGGGAGGTATCTACCAGTCTAGCTAATATACACTTTGCCGCATTAGCAGGGAATCTTGTACACCCTTGGTCGGTGGTGCTGATCTTATCGATCCTTGTGGGATGTCAGCATCCCGCGGAT